AGGGCTACTCTTGTGATTGAACAACACTTGTTGATGTTTGTTTACAAGGAGTCATTTTTATTAGATTCTGATGCTAACCTTTCTTTGCTTAGTGTGGTTGTTTTTCTTTTGCAGGAATTTGATGACGTATTCCCAGAGAAGATACCAGATGGATTACCACCCACTCGAGGAATCGAGCATCAAATCGACTTCATTCCTGGCGTATCAATCCTTAATCGACCAGCCTATAGAAGCAATCACGAGGAGACGAAGAAGCTTCAGAAGCAAGTTAAAGACTTGGTGAAGAAGGGATATGTACGAGAGAGCATGAGCCTGTGAGTAATTCTAGTCATACTTGTGCCCAAAAAGGACGGGACATGGAGGATGTGCATTGATTGTCGAGCGGTCAATAAAATCAGTGTAAAGTATCACTATCTAATTCCTAGGTTAGATAATATGTTGGATGAGATGCATGGATCTTGTTTGTTCTCTAAAATTGATCTTAGGAGCGGATGTCATCAAATTCGCATGAAAGAAGGAGATGAGTGGAAAACTACTTTTAAAACAAAACATCGTTTATATGAATGGTTAGTTATGCCTTTTGGTTTAACTAACGCACCTAGTACGTTTATGAGACTCATGAATCATGTTTTGCGAACATTCATTGGAAAATTTGTAGTTGTCTACTTTGATGATATCTTAGTGTACAATATGAGTCGAGATGAGCATCTAGGACACTTGCGTTATGTGTTAAGTGTTTTGAGATGAGCAAATTTTTACGCTAATCTCAAGAAGTGTTCCTTTTGCACATACCGAGTTGTATTCCTTAGGTTTGTCGTGTCATCTAGAGGTGTTGAGGTGGATGAGGAAAAGGTAAAGACTATTCGGGAGTGGCCGACACCGACCTCCATCACCGAGGTTAGGAGTTTTTATGGTTTAGCTAGTTTTTACAGACGATTTGTGAGAGATTTTAGTACACTAGCTACACCATTGACGGAAGTCATTAAGAAGTCCATAGGGTTTAAGTGGGGTGAAGAGCAAGGGCGTGCATTTAGAATGATTAAGGATAGGTTGAGGTCTACGCCTTTGCTTACTTTACCTAATTTTACTAAAGCTTTTGAAATTGAGTGTGATGGATCAGATATAGGCATTGGAGCTGTTCTTATGTAGGAAAGGAGACCCATAGCGTATTTTAGTGAACAATTGAATGAAGCAGCCTTGAATTACCCTACATATGATAAAGGAACTTTACGCATTGGTGAGGGCATTGGAAACTTGGCAACATTACTTATGGCTCAAAGAGTTTGTCATCCATACTGATCACAAGTCCTTGAAACATTTAAAAGGGCAAAGTAAGTTAAATCGTAGACATGCTAAATAGGTCGAATTCATATAGACGTTTTCGTATGTCATCAACTACAAGCAAGGTAAGTAAAATGTAGTTGCTGATGCATTGTCTCTCAAGTATGCTTTAATCTTAACCTTGGAAGCAAAATTATTAGGTTTTGAGCACATTAGGGATTTATATGCTACCGATAATGATTTTGCTACTATTTATGCTGCTTCTGAGAAAACTGCTATTGATAAGTTCTATAGGCATGATGGGTTCTTATTTAGAGAAAATACATTGTGTGTGTTTAATAGTTCTTTGAGGGAGTTCTTAGTTCGTGAGGCCCATGGTGATGGTCTTATGGGACATTTTGGCATTAAAAAGACTTTGGATGTCTTGCATGAGCATTTCTTTTGACCGCATATGAAGAGGGATGTTAAGCGTATTTGTGACAGGTGTATCCCATGTAAGAAGGCCAAGTCTAGAGTCTCACCCCATGACTTGTACAGTCCTTTACCGATTCCTAGTGAGCCATGGGTAGATATTTCCATGGATTTCGTATTAGGGTTACCTAGGACAAAAAGAGGCGAGGATTCGGTTTTTGTAGTTGTAGATAGGTTTTCAAAAATGGCACCTTTCATTCCGTGTCATAAAACTGATGATGCAACTAACATCGCCAATTTATTTTTCAGGGAAATAGTGCACTTACATGAAGTTCCGAGGAGTATCATGTCGGATAGAGATGCAAAGTTCTTAAGCTAATTCTGGAAGGTGTTGTGGGGTAAGTTAGGTACTAAACTTTTTTTTTCAACTACTTGTCACCTACAAACGGATGGCCAGACTGGGGTAGTAAATAGAACATTATCTACATTGTTGTGTGCTATTTTAGAAAAGAATTTGAAATCTTGGGAGAATTGTTTGCCACATGTAGAGTTTGCATATAATAGTGTTGTGCATTCCGTTATAGGTTATTCACCATTTGAAATTGTTTTATGGTTTAAACCCTTTAACCCTTTTGGATTTGTTGCCTTTACTTGTTGATGAGCCTTCTAGTTTCGATGGCAGGAGAAAAAGCGGAGTTTGTTCAACAACTTCATAAAAAATAAAGAAAAATATTGAGAAGCGAACCGAACAGTACGCAAGGCAAGCTAACAAGGGGCGAAAGAAAGTAGTATTCCAACCAAGAGATTGGGTGTGGGTACATTTGCGGAAAGAGAGATTTCCATCTTAGCGGAAATCTAAGTTGCACCCTAGAGGCGATGGTCCATTCCAAGTGCTCGAACGAATCGAAGATAATGCATACAAAGTGGATCTTTCGGATGAGTATAACGTAAGTGCTACCTTTAATGTTTCTGACTTAACTCTTTTTGATGATGCAGATTCGAGGACAAATCCATTTCAAGAGAGAGGGTATGATGAGGACATGATTGAGCTGCATGTTGTTGTAAAGCTGACACTAGATCCTCTTCACATTCCGGTGGGCCCAATTACGAGGAGTCGAGCTAAAAAGATGCAATGTGCCTTGTCAAGCGTAATTGAAGAACTTGAAGCCAAGGAATCAATGCATGAAGTCGAGTATGCCTTAAAGGGATCCAAAAAGATTTTTAACAAGATTGAAGCCCAGTCCAAGTTTGAGGAATTAAAGATCGATTCTTGCTAGCCCTAATTAGGTCCAAGTTGGCGTCTAAGCCTTTGTTCATGGGACTTAATAATTGTTATTTTATGTGAGCTATTTTAAGACTTATTTTTGGTGTAATGGGCTGGAGTTATTTATTTACTAAAGCCCAAGTTTTTTTTATTATTTTTATTAGTTGGGTCTGGGTTAGTTATTAGGGTTAAAACTTATTAATGGGTTGTTAGCCTTATTTTGGGCTAATTAGTTAGTTATATATAGTTGTAGGCTGTTTTGGCTGCACACTTTTTCGGGGGAATAATTAAATATTTCGATTTTTTTTTTCAAGATTCCATCTTGATCTCTAGAACTCATCAAGAATCACCAATTCTTGTGGCGTTCTTCCACGAAACTTATCAATCTAAATCAAGATTGTTGCGTTTCATATTATTTATACTAAGGTTCTGACAATAGATTCGTTTTGGGTAGCGGTTCTTCGAATTTTGTTTGTTCCTAGGTCTTTATGTTCTTGATCGGCGGGTTTCTTCGCAAATCGAAGGAGTTCACATCAAGTATATTATATTAACGGAAAGAAAAATCACCTTAAAGATTATTGGGAATGTTTAGAAAATGTGTTTAGTTGGTTTGAATAAATTGGTAAATAATATGTTAGGTTGGGAGGATAAATGGGTGGATATATTATATAGATTACTAAATTGCCCTCCTTTTTAAATATTAATATAATAGTATTTTTTGAATCATTTTTTAACCCCCTATATTTGAAATTTTGCTAAAACACCCCAGCCATATAAAACTTTCATTTATAGCAAAATCACTCCCACCCAACCCAAGCCATTGCCAGTAGCTACTCACCACCGCCGGCCACCACCAGTAGTCGACGACATGGCACACGACTAGCCGTATATGGTCAGTCGTGCGTCGACAAAGTCGGAAAAGTCCATGGATCACAAATCCATGGTCGAAAAATGATCAAATCTATAGCCATTTCACAGCCAAAGATGTGGTCGTGAAACGACCACAGATCTGGCTGTGAAAATGCTAGATCTTTGGTCATGCCATTTCACGGCCACATCTTTGGTCGTGAAACAGCCATAGAAATGCCAGATTTGGTCGTTTCCGGCGCACGACTGACCAAATCCCACTAGTCGTGCACCATTATGGCGACTGACGCGGGTGGTCGGCAGTGGTCTTGGGTGGTTGGGGGTATTTTGTTAACTTTTAAAATTTTTCGTAGCTGTGGTCTTTTAGCTAATTTCTCAAATGTAGGGGGGTTGAGTAATTGTTATTTGATAGACATTTGAGGATAATTGTGTCCAAAATGATTTTAATTAAGGGCAAAATGGGTAAAAAAATCATATTACCCTGGTAATGTTTTAATAACACCCCCTAGCAAGGTAATAAGATTACTCTCCATATTACCAATAATAACCACTATTTACAATAAAAGTTTCTCGTAATATTTAATTACTTGTAAACCAAACACAAGAATCTTACAAAATAAACGAAGATTATCCCTGTTATCTTATTTACCCCTGATCTAAACGGCCCCTTTGGGTGTAACAACTCACTAATGTTAAAGGCATTTTTTGTCATTTCAGAAACTTAGGAGGATTTCATTGTTTAATGAAACCTCAAGGGAGTCAAATAATAACCCTTTTCAATATTACAAATCGTGGAGGGCTTAAATGTAAATATCACGAACTAGAACCACCTAAAACCTTGGTTATGTTGTGCCCTAATGTCTCCTCTCCCACTATATAATAATTCTATTCGCTAAACCCTAACTTCAGCCTCTCTAACTCTGTAAAACCCATGTTTTCTACAATCTTCCAGAGCCTTCTCACCACGCTAAATATACAGTATTAGGGTGTAGCACCCATCTTAAATGCCCTAGGCCCTCAGCTTGGAGTTGTTTAGTTCTCTGTTGTGGTAAAATTTCTGTTTTTTCCCCAAAGTTTTAATTTTTGGTTCATTGTTTGTGTTGCTTTGTTAACTTGTACATTATACTTTGATGTTATTTGTGCTTTCTCTTTTTTTTGTTAATGAGGCTGATATGCCTGTGCCTATGATGGCGTTAAATATACTTTGAGAGTTCATCTATGAAACGAATTTAATCTGAGGCAGTAAGGCTATTCTTTTCTTTTTGGCGTTTTTTGTTTAAATCACATTTCCTGTTCTTCAATGATGTCTCTCATGTAATCCAGTAATTTCACCGACCCCGGTTGTGTTTTTTCCGTTTGTTTGTTTCAAGACTCTTGTTTGGTGGCTTTCATGAATTTCTCAGCCATCATGCATAGCATCAGGGCAAGGCAGTCTGTTATTCTTTTAAAATTTAATTTTTAAATCGTTTTTTTATGTTTGGATATTTTACTGTTTGGCCACACTGGTAGTGCCATTGTTCATTCAATATATAGTTCAAGTATGTTGTAATTTTTTTCTTAGCTTGGTTGAATTATTGTTGCTTTGATGGAATAGGCAATATGCAAGTGATGATAAACCAGACAGGGACATCAGTACTCCCTTGTGGAAATGGTGACTTAGTCTAATGGGAATCTCTCTGATGCATACAAAAATTTCACCTTACTGTACTACTATTTAGAGTTGGATGATTCATTTTGTTGCTTAAATTAAATTACTCCTTGCCTAGCAATTGTGATTTGTTACTATGATTTCTTCTAGGCCAACTTTTGATTTTTAATTTTGCTTTTGCATGATCTACTATTAGTCTTTGTCTATTTTTATGGCAATATTGTGCAAGTGACGATAAAACAGACAGGGACATCAGAAATCCAATGGAATATGATGATTTGTCTATGGGAATCTCTCCGATGCACAAATATTACTTTCTTAGGAGTTTATGGGTAATCATAGTTGCAATCAAGCTAAAATTTCATCGAGTCATGATAGTTTTGGTTATTTCAGTGCACACTTCTAATATGGAAGTGGGTTAGCAATGTTAAAATAGTACATATTTTTCATTTTTGTGTTCCGAAACATCCTGATTTGCCAATGATGCATCCAAATGCATGTATTATCAGATAGAATTATGATGATAATTGATTGTCACTACCTCTGAGGCATATCATGGAAACTTGCTTTTTGTTTAAACTTAAGCTGGCAATTTTGCTGCATCATTTTTTAATGCCCCTTTGTGATGTTTTTTTTAAAAAAGATTCTTTCTATTTTGTGATTCAGTTTAATATTTATAGAAGCATTTGCTGTAGTATAACATGATTGTTTACTTCATGAGAAACTTGAAGTTATTTCTTGAATGTGTAATTCATTTTTTGTTGGGGAAAGCATGCTCTTTGATAAATAGTATTAGAATTAGGTGTAAATTGTGATATTTTTTTACTTGCCGAAGTTGAATGCTTCTCTATTGGGAAACTAATCTCGACTTTGTTTTATTTTTGACCTGACAGATTTTATTTGTTGAACATATGTGTCATTTTGTTAGCACTTGGATGTTTTGCCTATGATGGTGTTAAATATACTATGAGCTTATGCCATGAACAGAAACTTAAATCTGAGGCTCTTTATCTCTTGTTCTGTCAATTTCTCTGGAAAACCATTCATATTTAGAATCATGGGTTATACATTGTTGTGTTTTGGGGTTATTGGACCTGTTGGTTTTATGGTTTTGTTATGAAATGGATCAAAATTTTCATAATCTTATGTTTTAATGGTAGAAAGGCCTGATGATTGTTACACAAGAACGGAGATTTGAATGGTGTTTATGTTGTAGCTTTACCTGGAGTAGGGCTCCATGAACACCGGGTGTAAAAAATAGTTGTAGATGGTATATGAAGGCCTGTAGTAGCTAATTTATTTGTCTATTTAAAATTTATAGTGGTTGATATGAATGATAGAGTTCTATGAAATTAAAAAAAAAAAAAAAATGTAAAAAAACTAAATTATCATTTCATTAAACCTTTAAAATACTACTTATTTTCTTCATATTGAAGAGCGGCTTATTTAACATGTGTTGATTTTTGTTTGTATTTTGTGTTACAGGTTTACCTGTTCACTAATCACAATTATGTTATTCAATGTTACAAAGAAAAAATGTAAGATTAGTAGTAGCATATTATGATGTATTTTATTTTTTAAATAAAAAAATAGCTTATTGAAGATATTCCATGAACTAGGAATATATCTACCATAGTGTATTAAAATTGTTCAAAAAAATAAATAGATGTTATCTGAATTATTTTTGACAAGATTGATTTACAATTCATAACTTTGGCTAATTATTTTATATTAGATATTCTTCCATGTTTGGATGAGGTTAATATTAGATAATTGGGATAATTAGATACATTGTAAAAAATTATTCTCAAAAACTTTATGACATAGTGGCATTTGGGGGTAGTTGTTAGAAATATTAATACTTAAGGGGTTGTTATTAAAACTTACTAAAGGTAATCAACTTTGTTTCCTATTTTGCCCTTAAATGTTGAGTATTTGGTTTAAATTAGTCTCATATTTGTAACATTATAAACATTTATTCATAATGAGGACCTTTTTGTTTTCATCTTTAAAATTTTTTGAACGAATTGCTTTTGTTATTGTCATTATTTACATAAATGTTATTGAATCCAAAATTAGCTATCATTGCCAACAACTATGGATTGTGTCGGAGGATGTAAAAGTTGTCATAATTGTGTACAGTCGCCATGGATCACAAATCCATGGTCGAAACGGCTAGATTTGTTCGTTTCATGACCAAGACTTGGTCATTTTATGGCGAGAACTGTGGTTGTTTCATGGTTACATTTTTTGTCGTGAAATGGTGATGGCTGAATCTATGGTTTGTCGGCATCATGGTCAAATCTGTGGCGTTTTGGCAATTGTCGATGGTGGTGTTGGTTGTCGTAATGGCTTGGGGTGGGTATGGGTGTTTTTGCTAAGTTTAAAACATTTTTGGTTTTTTTGCTAATTGAAAGTAAAGGATTAAAGAAAATTATTTAAAAAATAATATTATATTAATATTTAAAAAAGAGGATAATTTAGTAATTTATATACACATTTACGTAATTATATATTTATTAATTTATTTAAACTAATCAAATACATTTTTAAATATTATTGTCTTTGTTGTTTTTTTATCCCAAGTATCTTGTTTTATAGGTAGTAGATATTTTGAAACGGTAGCTCCATTCAATTAGAGGTTGTTTCATCACTATAGGTAAATAACAAACTGTATTTTCTGTTTAGTGATGAATTTGAGTGCATTAATACAGGTAAATACAAACTGTATTTTCTTAATGGAGCTCGCAAGAGGAGAATAATGAAAGTTAGGGTTAAGAAAAGAAGGAAATTATTGTTTCTCCTTCTCGCAAGCTCCATTAAATCAGAGGCTCTCTTTCATCATTAATACAGATAAAATACAAATTGTATTTTCTTTTTTTGTGATAAATTGGAGTGCACTAATACAGGTAAAATACAAACTATAATTTCTTTAATGGAGCTCGCGAGTAGAAGTAATGAAAATTAGGGATAAGAAAAGAATGAAATTAAAGGGAGAGGAGAGAAATTTAAAGTAAAAGTAGAAAGTAGTAGCATATTATAACTTTTCAGAAGATTTGTCTCTTACAAAGTAAGATTTATTTTGGGATAAAAAACGGCAAAGGCAATTTTACACTCCAGCTATTGTTACCATTGATAATGTCATTTGAAATTTGAAAATGATATACTTAGTGGAGTCGACCATAAACTAAGCTTGTTACTTATTTCATTTCAACAAAATTGTTGAAGATCTTACAAAAGCATAACGAAACACGAAATTGAACCAACGTGATGTGGAGGAACAAATCGAAGCTGCAGAAAGAAATGATGAAAAAATTAAGGCAACTATTCAAGATTGGCTGTTTGATTAGAACTTGAGACGTTGAAAGGAAAAATAGAAGTTAATAAGAATTGTCTTAATGGGTGTTGTCCTAACTAGGGTTTTCGATATCAATTGGGTAGGAAAGCAACAAAGACAAGCATTTTGTTGAAGGCAATTGTAGTTAGAGGCCAATTTGGTAGAGTGGGCAATCTTGCACCTCTATCAGGTGAACCTTTAGCATTTAAAGATTTTGAATTTTCCCTGTTTATGAAGGTAACTTTTGATAAGATTATAGAGAAACTTAAAGATGAATACACCCATATGGTTATATTGTGTAGGATGGGTGGTGTGGGTAAAACAACGTTAGCAAAAGTAGTGAGTAAAAAGGTCACAAAAGAGAGCATCTTTAAGGAGGTTGTGATGGTTGCTGTATCCCAAACTCCAAAGTTCTAAGATATTCAAGGTCAATTGGCTGACTTCCTAAACTTGGAACTTAAGGAGGAAACTGAATAGGGAAGAGCTAAGAGATTGTCTTCAAGATTTTCAAAGTCTAATAATAACCTTATAATCCTGGATGATATATGGGAAGAATTCAATTTCAAGGAAAAATAGGCGTTCCATTGAGCAAAGGTTGCAAAATGCTTTTGACAACCCGTAACAAAAACGTATACATTGATAGGAAGTATTAATCATTAATTCTTCTAAATGTTTTAGAGGAACACGAAGGAGTGGCTTTACTCAAATGGCAAGTACGTATAGATGATGGCTCTATCACCTTGAATACTTTGGCTACTCAAATTGCTTGTGAATGTGATGGTTTGCCTTTAGCACTTGTAACCACCAGGAGGTACTTGAGAGGAAAGAAAGATATTAAAATATGGGAACTTGTGTGTGAAAAACTAAAAAAAGTCAAAATTGGAGGATTTATGTCATGTTAATTGTACACTAAGAGGTGTTTACGCTAGTCTCAAGTTGAGTCATGATTATTTGAAGATAGATAAAATTAAATTCTGTTTTTGATGTGTTCACTATTTCTTGAGGATTTTGAAATTACTTTGGAGGATTTGGTTAGAATAGGAGTGGGGTTAGATTTATATAAAGATGTTTCATACAATTTTTTAAAACCCAACCTGACTTGATCGGTTTGACCAGGACTCGGTCACCGAGTCGAGTTGGGCTAGTATAAAAATTGGGAATATGCATTCACCCAATACGACCCGCGGTTGGACCGAGGTCATTGTAGCTGACCACCAGTCCAACTGATTTCAGGGCAGAACCGGATGAAGGCAAAATCCCAGTTTTCAAACCCTAAAATGCTAAAAATTGATTTATTTATTTTTTTCAGTTTTTCGCACTTCTTCGTGCATCCTTCAATTTCCAATTCTGCATCTTCAATCTTCATTCTTCGCTCTAAAGAAGATCGAGCACAAATCCTAAATCCCCAACAAAGCCAACAACTGAAGAAATAAAATAAAGCATGAAATAGAATAAAGCTTGAAATTATGTCACCTTCTTCAATGTCAAGTAGAGCTAGATCTCACTTTCTTCTTCTTCATCATCAAAACCCAATTAAAATCCCAATCAAAATCTCATTTGTCTCTATAAACTTCCAGGCATACAAAACTGAAGAAATAGAATCAATAGATCTTCAACCTCGAAGTAGAGGCAGATCTCACCTTCTTCTTCTTCAAAATCCAGTTAAATTCTCGATCAAAATCTCATTTGTTTCTATAAACTTCCAGACATACAACAATTGAAGAAATAGAATAAAGCTTTGAAATTATGTCAGCCAAGTAAATAGACCTTACATACTTGCTTGGAGTTCATTGAAAATTTTACGAGAAATCATTTTCTCATGCAAACCAGATTGTTTTCACTTTCAATTAAAAAACAAAATATGACTTCTCTGTTTCTATTTTAACCTTTAATATAGTCTAAAAGGTGTTCCACATTAAATAACCTTATCTCCATGTCTTCAATACATGACCTGTCATATCACCGCTATTGATAAATTTTCTGATCAATTACTTTTTTTTTTTTTTTTTAAAACAACGTACTTCTTACTTTTGGTTTATTTATTTGAAAACGTCACTTTTTTTATCTTATTACCCTTGGTTTATGATTGTACACCCGCAACTATACAAAGGATTTTTTGTCATTCTGATAGGATGATGTCACCGATCCAACCCGTCGATCAGACCGATTGGATTGGTTAACTCATGACACGGGTTGGGTTTTAAAACGTTGATT